GCACTACTGAAATTCAAGAAGCCAGCCAGCTTTCTTTTACGTATTTAAAAAAGATACCAAAAACTTCTCTCACGAATAATGTAATTGATTTTTAATAGAGACTCAAAAAATTTAAGATCATGGACACACCAAATCTTAAAAGATGGCCCCTACCACCATAGGTGAAGAGAGTGGAAAATTAAGCAATAACGGGGTGCAGTGAGTACTAAGGTAAGGACGGGGAGAGGCATCTATGAGAACTTGTAGCAGCGGGTGTATTGTGGGGATAGAGGGTTTCCTCAGGAACAGCTGAGGCTTTAAGATTGAGGAGGTGGCTCCAAGAGAGGCGCAGGCTTAGAGGGTTTTACTTTCTAGGTGTCTTACGAGAGCGTTATCGAACCACACATATTAAAACGTAGCTCAGCTGGGTGTGGTAGCTCATGCCGGTAATTCTAACACTTTGGGCAGCTGAGGTGGGCAGATTATTTGAGCCCAGGAATATGAGAACACAGCAAAACCCTACCTCTATCTTTTAAAAACTTAAGAAAGGAAAGAAAGAAAATAAGACGTAGCCCTATCCCAAATCTCTGAAAGACTATTTACAATTTTGCCTTTTAAATGGCTTGGTGATCAGCAACTAATTTAACGTGCTTAGCTCTGATTCCTTGGCAACCACTGCGTGCACTTAGAAATTCTTGTGACATGCTCATTTTGGCAGAACATATACTAAAACTATAAATTCTTGTGAAAAAAGAAATTCTCATCTATATTATTCTCAATATTTTAACAATTATGCTGAAAAAAATGAAGATAGTGTTTCATTTTGTAGATATTTTTCTTGCTCTTTTCTTTGCATAATTTATAGCCAGCATTATTTTTCCTGGTTTCTTGCAAGCATTTCATAGGTCTTTCAAAGCTTACAGATCTTAGGCATGATGCCTTTCATTGTCTAATGGGTAAATAGCAGGGTGGTCAAAACAGAGCTTAGGGCCAAGAGGGGAGCATGTGGGAGGGCCCAGGAACCAAGTGCTTGCACACAGCACCTACAACAGCCTAAGGTTGGGTTGCCACAACTGAAGCCAGGTACCATTTCAAACACTAACATACTTCCTTGAAGATTACAAAGAACTTCAGGATGGTTCAACATCCCCAGATGTAGCAGGAAGCAGCAGCTGGCCTTACCTTTGGGGCATCATTTTTTCCCAAGATGGAGACCAGTTGCCCAGATGGCTCCCAGGGAGTCCGGCAGCAGCCCCAGCACTCTATCGCAGCCGTGGTAACAGGGTATTCGAGGACAGACATGGCAGCACATATCTTTTAGCCAGGCTTGTTCATTATCTGTTGTCTTTAAGTTGGCCTCTGATTTCTCTATCCTTTGAAATATGTAATGTACCAAATTGTGGCAGAAATAAATTAACAAATTAAGCAATCTGAGGATTTTTGGACACAGGCTCTTCAGAGGGCTGGGAATGAGGAGGAAACAGAATAAAGAATGTCCTGAGCCCTCAGAGGCACTTGAATATCTGAAATATCTAGGATGTTTTAAAACAGGTGCTGACCCCAGGCCTGTGCTCAGCCCAGGCCTGTGACAACCGGACAGCTTTCATTTGCTGCAGTAAAGGAGTGACGTGGGTCAGGCTTCATTAGATGCCAAACACTGATAAAGTGTTCCACTCAAATGGCCTCTTAGATGTGGCCAAGAAAAGTACAAAAAGGCCCAGCTTGCCTATTGACAATCCCATTAACTTTCAGTCATTTCTAAAGAACAGGCCAGCACCATCTGAACATGGAAATCCAAGTGCAAGCTACTTCTTGTCCACTCTGGAGCCGGGTAAGGGACAATGGAGATCCTGGGTGGGCACAGGCCCTGCAGTGCTGCATTCCCACTCATTGCAGATTAAAATTGCCACCTGTACACCCCAGGTCTACAGCACTACCAACTGGGAAGGTCAACGGAACCCCACATTCTAATCCTCATACCCTGGAACAAAGGCCCAGTAAATCCACTTATCACTCTGATTCCCCCTCCCCCAGCTGACCTCCACCCTCACCTCAGGCACTGCCGAAACTTTGGAAATTCTGTTTCCCTGGTGCTCCAGTTTCCCCATCTACCTTTGACTTCATCAACTGCTTCCAGCCTCTTGTACGCCATCCTGCCTACTTCCTTTGCCTCCCTCTAGCACCTTCAACTCTTCTACTCAGTGGCCTTAAAACTAAGTGCCAGCATTGGTCTCACCTAGCAGCCTCCCAACACAAAGATCTAACAGGAAATGGCCACCTCGTGGTCTTCTGCTGTTTGGTGTGAGGACAGGCACCATGGTACAACTTGAAGTTTTGTTTTTGTAATTTGGGTCTGTGATTAGCTATCCTTTACCATTTTTTGGAAATGATTTTTTAAAATAAAGAAAACCCAGAAGGGAGAGCATCAGAATAAATAGCTAATGCACCCTGGGCTTAATACCTAGGTGATGGGTTGATAGGTGCAGCAAACCACCATGGTACATGTTTACCTACGTAACAAACCTGCATGTCCTGCACAGGTATCCCGGAACTTAAAATTAAATTGGAAAAAAAACACACAAAAACTCCAGCCTGGACAACAAAGTGAGACACCATCTCTAAAAAAATATTTTTAATTAGCTGGGTACAGTGGCTCATGCCTACAGTCCCAGCTACTTGGGAGGCTGAGGCAGGAGGATCACTTGAGCACAGGAGTTTGAGGTTACAGTGAGCTAGGACTGCACCACTGCACTCTAGCCTGGGTGAGATCCCGACTCAAAAAAGAAATTATTTTAAAAAAGAACAAAACCCCTGAGGCTTAGCTGCCCAGTGAGGCCAATGTGGAATTCAGCAGGTTCTCCTGTTGCTCTTTCCCAATCAATATGTCATGTTGCAATACGCTGGCTTCCTCCCACCCCTTACCAACTGTTTTGACCACTATGGTAAAATCATCATGATGGAGGCTGGCTGGAGTTTGCATGAAATGTAGTTAAAGGGTGTTGAAAGACAGACGCAGGGCCTTGTAGATGACAAGGCAAAGAATGATTCTGCCATGACCCCCAACAAGTTCACCGGTTTATCTACCTAAAAAACTCACAGTCCCATTGAACAACTGCTGCCGTTAACTCAGAATGGTCTATCTCTATCAGCAGAAAGGAACAAACAGACCAAGATAGAAAACCAAGCTCCAAAATGCTGGAATCTCTCTCTTCAAGCTACCCCAGCAAGTAAGTGGACCGACCAGGAGCTAAACTAGAAAAAAGGCAGAGACTAAAAGATTTGTCAGTGACTAAAGATTTGATCTAAGATGTCCCAGCAAACAGCAAACGATGACTTCTGCCTGAAGGAATGGTACATTGCTTTTCTTGGGAATTTGAGAAGGGGCTGGGAGTGAGTGAGCTGTTTAAATAAATATTAAATTGGTCCTCTTTGTGGCAATACCATCACCTCTCCTGCCAGATGTTCCAACTCCAGAAGCAGCTTTGCCAGATGCAGGGCTGGAACCACACCAGACGTTTCCAGGTTTGAAGCGGACAGTAGCACACATCCCCTCTACTGCTTACAGTAATTTGCCTGGCCTCTATGTGCCACCCTACATTGACCAACAGCACCATTTCCAGAGCTTGTACAAGGAACAGCAGGTATGTGGTATTCCAAAAGCAATGTGGCCCCTTAGTTCAGGATTTGAGCTCTATATGGGCAGATGTGAGTTCAAACGTCAGCGGCACTAGGTAGGACTGCAGTATGTGTGGCAGGCAAAATTCTGGGATGGTAATCCACTATTCCCAGCCCCTGGTTTTTTAAACACAAATCCAGTATTGCTGTTGTCAGTTGACCTTAAGATAGGGAGATAATCCAGGTAGGACTATTGTGCTATGAGTCATTTTTAAGCAATGTTTTCTCTAGCTGGTATCACAAAAGGAAGGTGAATTCAAAGTACCAGGATTCCATGCACCCTTGCCAGCTTGAAGGTAGGGGAGACCAAGTGAACGGAAATACGGGCAGTGGCTGTCTATATGCTAAGAGTTGCCCATAGCTCACAGCCAGCAAGAAAAATCGGAAGAAAACAGGTGACTTCAGTCCTACAACCCTGAATTCTGCCAACAACCTGAATGGAAGCACATTCTTTCCCAGAGCCTTCAGATGAGAGCTGAGCCCAGCCCAGGTGACAGACACCCTGATATCAGCCTTATGAGACTCTAAGCAGAGAATCCACCTGCCTGGATATCTGACCTTTAGAACTGTGAAATGATAAAGAGGTACTGTTTTAAGCTACTAAGTTTGTGAGCACTTGTTATATACCAAGAGCACATAACCAATACAGTATGTAAAGCTCTCAGTACAATGTCATAATCCAGAATGTCCTGGCCTTCCTCAAGGTTAACTCTCTACCTCCACACATCCTCCCACACCCCTAGACATCAAAGCACAGTCTTTCTCTAGCCCCTTTTCACTTAAAAAGAAAAAGGTACTGTGAGGGAGTGATGAGGCAAAGTTCGCCCCCGGGGGAGGACACCATTTGGAATTCTAGTAGAAAGAAGTACTTATTTCCCCTTCTACAAACTTCAAGCCTATGCACATATCAAATGTGGACTCTATTAGTTGGCAGGGGAAATCTGCCATGGATCCTGGGTATTCCTGCATATTCTTGTTGGGCAGGCTTTTACCTGAGTTCTTTCTCAAAACTGTGTTTGCAGGAGGCAGTCTTAAGGCATGAAGTAATGTCTGCATGTGAAACAACAGACTTGCCATGAAAGAGGTGGAGTCCCCAAACATACAAGTTCTTTGGCTATGGTGCAAACTTGTAACATGCATAGCATCTACCTGGGCCCCTCCATGTCCACTGTGAGACCTGGGGAGCAGGGGAAACCAATGTAGACATGAAGCTCATGCTATGCTGAGTAACAAAGTTCTTTATCTCTGACCCAGGATCCTCATGTCTTTTGGGAGCATCAACAAAAAAGTAATAATCTAACTTATTAGCTTGCAAGGGTAAAATCCCTGACTCTATTACACTTAGATCCTTAAATGAGGAGATTTAATGTCTTTACATTATACATTTCAAAGGAACGAAACACCCTTTAAGAATTTTCTCATGGAGATAGCATTTACATCACAGAGCTATTGTGAAAATAAAACAGGAATGTATAGCACACTTGGAATATAAAAAACATCCCAATAACTTTACTTGGACCCCTGCAGTCACCCATCCCTCATATATACATCCAATTAACCAGATGAAGATCAGTGTCTGTGTCCATGACAGCAATCCATTCAGAAGACAAAAGATAAATAGTCTAATATACCAATTTCTGACATTTGCATAGCACTGCAGGACTCATGAAGAGCTGCCACTCATATTATCTCATTTAATCCCTACAATAAAAACCGAGGCTCAAGGAGGTAAGTCCTTGCAGAAAGAACAGTAACAGACTCCACAGGTTTGGAAAACAGCCATATGACAGAGGGCCAAGGAAGCCTATGATAGTAGGCTGAGGAAGCACAGCTGAACTGCAGCTATGAGACTGTTCTAGCAGCATGACTGTGGCCTGAAGGCACATTCTTCCTCCAGGTAAGGCAAGGGAGCTCTCACGGTGACTGGGCCTCCTGGGCAATGGCAACGCCACTGGAGAAACAGCTGGAAACACATGCTACAGAGATGTCTTTTATTTGTATATTGATATTTCTTCACAGAAAATTAAGCACGTGGCTATCCTGTCCTGCATTAATCCATTTGGACTTGGTCCCATTGGTGTCCATGGCAGCGTCTGCTTTGTCTGGAGGCACTGGGGCCTTATCTTGTGATGGTTATCACTTGAGGGTCTTGCTAAGGTTGGAGAAACCAATGCCAACACAGGTCATCAGCACTTTATCCCCGCCCTTGAGTTCTTCACCACATGGCTTGGTTTCAATTTTAAACATAATCTGGAAAAAGCTCTTCAAATGCCGCAAAAATTCTATCCTAAAAAGGAAATAAATAAATAAATAAATAAAAAGCAATTCATTAAAAAAAAATTATCCTCTGCCATCTAGAATCCAAGGTTTTAATTTGCCAGACCTAGAGAGCTGAAGTTAAGAACTTCTCATCAAATCTGATTAAATAGTACTTCTCTTCAGCCAGCCAGTTTCCAAAGAAGATTGAGATAGTCTGCAGAGACACACACAATACAGCAAGATAAATTAAACCGGGGAGGGGGGAAAGGTTAGAAGTTAGCACATGACACATAAGTCATTTAGTTCAGACCTAGCAGAAAATGGACATAAATATGGTGACGACTTTTTCTTTTTTTTTTAAAGAGACGAGGTCTCACTATGTTGCCCAAGCTGGCCTCAAACTCCTGGACTCAAGCAATCCTCCACCTCAGCCTCCTGAGTACCTGGGACTACAGGTGTGCCACCATACCTGGCTTAGGCAATGATTTTTGAGTGGCCTGTACAAAGACAGAAACACCTATTTCCATGATTCACAGCACCATGACATACAAAACAAGCACAATGACTACTGATGCTGAAATAGACAAATCTCTATTATTCTCTAATAATACCTTTGTGTTTACTTAATATTTATCAAGTGCATACTGTATGCTAGGCACTGTTGTTGGTGCTTGGAATATTGCACTCAAATGAAAAAAATTAAAAATAAAAATCCTTCCCTCATGAGGATTTCAATCTAGTGGTGTAGATAGAGACAGGATAAATGAATTAATTATTCCTGAAAAGTGCTATGTAATGTAAACAAAGCAAACAACACAGATAGGAAAGAACTGTGGGTACAACAGTATTTGTACAAATTTGGCAGAAAGCAATATTAAATAAGGTGGCGGGGGAAGTGTGCACAGTAAACACGACAAGGACAATGGCATCATCACAGGGTGATGGCATCACTTCAAGAGTACCTTGGGAAGAGCAATTCTGTGGATGAACCGCAGTGCAGGTACACAGGCTTCTAATGGTCTTGCCTGGCAGACCTAGCATCACCTCAGCTAGCCTGATCATAAGACACACCTGAACAGTTCATTAAATACACAGGTTCCTGAAGGTTCTGGTGAATTTGCAACTGGTACGAAGTGTCCATATCCATATGGAAGAACCCAGAATCATAGGCCACACACAAAACTGATCCCTTCCTACCCTCCACCAGACCCTGTGCTCCCCAGTTCATAGAGGCCAGAAATCTATTGTTAACAAGAATCCCTGGCAATTCTCATTGGGCAAGGTTAGGGAACACTGGCTTAGTGAAGAATGATGGTTTGCACACCTATAGTGAAGTATTACAAAAACCTCGCACTGTACTGTCTCCCAGTCAAACCAGCCAAACTCCCCACTCTGGCCAGATGGTTCTCAATCTCAACTGCACATGGAATCATCTATGGAGTTTTAAAAACACTGATGCTAAACACATAGATCAGTGGAAAAGAGAGTCAAGAAATAAACCACACAGTTATGGTTAATTTCCTCAATGAGGAAAGCATAATCATTTCAACAAAGATGCTGGAACAACTGGATATCCACAGGTGAAAGAATGAAGTTGGGCCCCTTCCTTACATCACACAGAAAACTTAACCCAAAAGAGATCAAAGTCGTAGCTGTAAGAGCTAAAACTATAAAGTTCGCAAAAAAAAAAAAAAAAAAAAAAAATACAGGAGTATTCATTACCTTGGGCTAGGTAATAGTTTCTTAACCATTTCTTAAATACAACACCAAAAGGATGGCAATAAGAGACAAAATAAATAAACTGGACTTCATCAAAATTAAAATACTTTGTGCATCAAACGCACCATCAAGAAAATAAAAAGACAACCAGGCCGGGCGCGGTGGCTCACGCCTGTAATCCCAGCACTTTGGGAGGCGAGATGGGCGGATCACGAGGTCAGGAGATCGAGACCATCCTGGCTAACATGATGAACCCCGTCTCTACTAAAAATACAAAAAAAAAAAATTAGCTGGGCTGGGTGGCGGCCTGTAGTCCCAGCTACTGGGAGGCTGAGGCAGGAGAATAGCCTGAACCCGGGAGGTGGAGCTTGCAGTGAGCTGAGATGGCGCCACTGCACTCCAGCCTGGGGACAGAGGCAAGATCAAAAAAAAAAAAAAAAAAAAAAAGACAACCATACAGGATTGGAGAAAAGATCTGCAAGTCAATTTCTGATAAAAGTCAGGCATCTCGACTATATAAACAACTCTTACAACTCAATAATAAAAAGACAAATAAACCTAATTAAACGATGAAGAGTACAGGCGTGGTACCTCATACCTGTAATCCCAACACTTTGGAGGCTGAGCACGCAAATTGCTTGGGGCCTGGAATTCAAGACCAGTCTATTACGACCCATCTCTACAAGAAATTGTTTTAAAATTAGCCAGGCATGATGGCAGGAGCTGTAGTCCTAGCTACTCGAGCTATGACTGCACCACTGCACTCCTGCCTGGGCAACAGAGTGAGACTCACTAAAAAAAAAAAAAGAAAAAAAAAAAAAGATGAGAGAGCTAAATGGACATTTCCTCACAAAGATCCAATAAGTACATGAAAAGATGCTCAACATCATTGGTTATTAGGGAAATGAAAATCAAAACCACTATGAAATATCACTTCATATCTAATAGGATGGCCATAATAAAAAAGACATACAATAACAAAAGTGTGGGTGAGAAGGCAGAACCACCAGCACCCTCATACACTGCTGGTAGGAATGTAAAATGGTACAGCCACTGTGGAAAACAATCTGGCAGTTCCTCAAAATGTTAACCAGGGAGTTACCATAGGATACGGTAATTCTACTCTTAGGAATATATAGAAGAGAAATGAAAACATACACCCACACAAAAACTTGCATACAAATGTTCATAATGGCATTATTCACAAGAGTCAAAACGCAGAAGCAACCCAAATGTCTATCAACTGATGAATGCATAAAGTGTGGTATATCCATTCAATGGAAGATTTTTTTTTTTTCTGTCATAAAAAAGGAATCAAGTACTGATACATGCTACATCGATGAACCCTGAAAACATTATGCTAAGTGAAAGAATCCAGTGACAAAGGACCATATAGTGTATGATTCTATCTACCGAATATGAAAAAGCCACAACAGGCAAATCTATCAGAGGCAGAAAGTAGATTTGTGGTTGCCTGGGGCTGGGAAGAGGGGGAAGAATGGGAGAGACTGCGAGTTGGCACAGGGTTTCTTTCTGGAGGTAGTAAAAATGTTCTAAAATTAGATTGTGGCTGTGGTTACACAAGTCTTTAAACTGTGTACTTAAAATGGGTAAATTGTGTCGTATGTGAATTGTATCTCAATAAAGCTTTTTAAAGTAAAGAAATCAATACATATTTGCCATGTTATAAAACAACTGATCCTGGTTCTCACCCCTCCTCGGTGTATACCAAACTACATATAAAGCCTGAATTGATGAATTTCCCTCCCATCCCCATCCCTCTGTGCTAAGAGCACTGATCTAGTCAAAGGAAGGAAACAGCTATATGGAGAAAAGGGGGCCTGAACAATTCCTGACCCTGTGACTGAAGTGACCAGTGCGTCAGGGGCTGAGATGAAACATTAACAACCCCAGAGAGCAGGAGTTCTGGTCAGTGCTGGATGCTCACAGAAAAAATCTCCCAATTCCTTGCTTTCCTTCCACCTAGGAATGTGCAAGTTTATCTCGACCTTTAAAATAACATCACATTTGTCAACTTTTCTATGAAGCCTTTCCTAGCCCATAAAGCCCACCCCAAACGATCTTTCCCACCCCTCCAGGTTTCCATAGCATTCTCTGCTCATGGTGTCTAATTAAATGCTTATGTATAACTGTCCCCTTCCCCCTCATTAAATTATTTAAGCACCTCAAGGGCAACGCTCTACTCCATCACTGAACCTGTTATTCAAACAAGGCACTGTATGAGGTTCTCAGTAAAGAGGCACTGGATAGAATTTAGGAGTTGGGGTAATTTTGGGAAACAACTTTCAACATTCTTGGCAATTAAGGGAAGTCAGCGTTCCCTGCTGGCTTTCTTGTCTTACTAACCAATTAAAATTTTGTTGTCATTGTTGCTTTCTATCCATCCCACCATCTCCCCCATCCTGTCCTACGGAAAAAAGAAAACACATCGAACCATAGATAAACAGTCCACATCTGCGGGCAAAGCTTCCAGCTGGCGGCAACCCGGAAAAAGCCAGCCATCTCACCCACTCATCTGCATCTGAAGGAGAAAACAAATTGGTCTCTCCTTTGCTGCTGCCTCAAACTAATAGAGGCCTGGGGCATGCTCTGCTCCCAGGATCTCACCCAGCCTACTTCACTCTGAATCACTCAACTGTGCTTGAAAAACCAGACACCCTCCCCAGCTGGGAGAATTTCTACGGGGCCTCAGCTTGCTTCTGATCCCTTGGAGAAGGATGGGAGGAACACAGGCTCAAGTGTGCAGGTTTGTGTATTTGCAAGTTTGGGGTATTTGTAGCCTTTGGAACAGTTAGAAAAAGCAAAGTTAGTTCCACTTTTTACATAATGTTCTGCCAACCCCTCAGCCTGTCCAAGGAAGACTGTGTAAGAGACTGGATTAAGGTACATTTCAGAATCTTTCCCCTACCTCTAGCCCCATTCTCCCTATGTCTCTGGTAGCTGGGATATTGAAGAGCAAAAATGCTCAGAACCTGAAAATTCACCACAGACAATATTAAATCCCAGCAAACAGCCTCCTTAAGAAAATGAAAAGCAAATGAAGAGTAAGCTCGCCCTGTATCTACATGCACTAACAAAGTCTCATCCAGTGCTGATCCACATCCTTCTCCACAGCCCAACAGCTAGCTCTCCACAGCTGCAGTTGCACTGAGGCACCGCCTTTGGAGTTCACATTTCCCTGCCCCTCTCTTCCACAGCACTATACTGGAGATTCACACTTCCTAGATAGAACCACAGAGCCACACAGCCAGGGCAGAGAGAGACCCACCGCTCACTGAGAGCAGCTCT